CATGGCTGGCTGGGGAATTCTGGGAGTTGAAGTCCACTCATCTTAAAGTGGCCAGGTTTGGACAAAACTGCTATAAAGAAGCCAATCCTGAATTTAGATCAGTCCCTCCACCAAAGAGAAGATTAGACCAACTAAGATCGCTTCCCCGTTTTGAAGATAAACAGCTTGAGAGAAAGGTGTCCTTTCATGTAGATCAGTGTTTTTCAACCTTGGCAAGTTTAAGATGGGTAGACTTCAACTCTCGGAACTCCCCAGCCAGCGAGGGGAATTCTACAAGGGGAAAGGGATTCTGGGAGTTGAAGTCCACCCATCTTAAACTTGCCAAGGTTGAAAAATGTTGGTGTAGGTGAAATTATCTAATGCTGGCAAGAGATCAGTCAGGTCTCTTGGGGGACATTAATAACAAGCGATTCCCCCCTGCCCCATCTTCTCAACTCCAGGACGAAGTCGAGCCTCTCCAGCACTCGTTCCTCCCCCTCTCGGTCTTCAGTCCCCAGCCGACCCCAGAACTCCTGGCGGGCTCAGGGAGGCCCCGGCCGCATCCACGACCTGCTGATGGAGATCCAGCTAACAAAGGTGAGGTTGGCAGGGCCTGGGTCCTAAAGCGCCCTGAGATTCTTCAGCTGCGTTCACACAATGGGCTAGTCGAGGTCAGTAAAAGACCAAGCGGCTGCATACACCAAGGTGGATTAAAGTTTGCCTGTTTTAGGGGTTTGGGGATCTTAGATTATTGTGTGAGCCCAACCTCTTTGATAAGTTTGCAGTTCAGTGTCAATCCAAAAGGTGGGTTAATTTGGTCAGGTTAAGCACGTGTGGTTGGGCTTTGCACAAACCCGTGAATGAAGTTAGTGAAAGACCTGGTAGCTGCATTCACACAGCCTGCTAACCTGGGTTAGTTTTCACGACTTGGCTTCTTCTGCAAAGCCAGCCTGCTGGGTTAGCGTGGGGCTCAATGCATTGCGTGGACCTGAAAAGTTGGCTTAATTCAGGAAGCAAGTTAATCCTCATTCAGTTTAATGCAGCTAAATATAAAAGTAGGACTGGGAGCCCAGAATTCAAATGTTGCCTATTGTTGAGCTGGGGGTAACCTATCGAGCGTGCTAAGCCCCTTCACAGCATAGTGAAGATATACGAACCCAGCCTGCATTTATTTATTTATTTATTTGAGCAATTTATATGGCTGCCCAACTCACTCACGGTGACTCCCCACAGCTTACAAGAGTAAAAACCCCCAATATGAAACCCGCTACACCCCCCACCCCCCTGGCGACAATGACACATTTACACTAGCCATTTGAGGGGCTCCAGGTCGCCCTGGGATCCCCAAGCCCGCTGGCAAAACCACGTCGTCGGGGCTGTGCGGAAGAGCATCAAGGGGGAGGCAGTTTTATTTCTGTGGGGGATGATGTTCCACATATTGCTTGTATCGTGTCAGTGACGCTGCCCTCTTCCTCTCTGTGCTCAGGTGAGCTTCCAGCACGAGTCCTATTCCAGTGGCGCGCCAGAGAAACCGTCCTTGGAACTGGAGGAACAGCCACTAGCCAGACAGGTGTTCGTCGTCCAGGAGCTGGAGATCCGAGACCGGCTGGCCTCCTCGCAGATCAACAAGTTCCTGTACCTGTACAGCAGCGAGCGCATGCCCCGGCGTGCCCATTCCAACATGGTATGGGCCGGGTCTCTCTTTCCAGCAGGGATCTGGCAGTTCTGATCGAGGTGTGGCGAAACTGCCCTGGGAATTCTGGCCAGACCAGATGGAAGCAGCCACGTGGGGGTTTGTGGGCATTGGCCATCACAGAGAGAAGGGGCGCTCAGCACTTTCACTACACAGTTGGCAGGGCAGCTGGCCGATCGCCAGACTGTTTGCTAGGAGGCATGTTCCCCCCATGTCGCTGGGGCCTCTCCCCCGCCCCTGGAGAAGACCAGGCCTGCAGCTTGCCTTTATACCCTAAGAATACCCATGGGGGGATTAACGGCAGTTTTGTAAATAAAGACGACGCCGGAAGCTGGGGCTTTGTTTTGCAGAATGTGAATTTCCACTTAATTTTTAAAATATTAATTCGATCTAAGAATGTAGGTAATACGGGTCTGCCAGGTGCCCGGGGAAATGTCTGGTGGCGGCCAAGGAAAGTTGGTGCCACCATATTTACCTGTTGATTAAAACATCTCCTGGTTTTCTATTCAAAAGTGGGGGTGTATTTTCCTGCAAATCTGGGGGGTGGGGGAGCCTCCAGCGCTGGCATTGCGGAGAAGACAGAGTTATCCACATGGATTTTGCTTTCTGGGTGGGATTTGAGCAGTTCCCTCTGGGATGATAGTTGGTAGCACATCTGGAAAAGGTTCCAGTCCAGGGAGGCTTTGTCAGCTGCTTTTGTGGGGAGAGGCTTGGTACCCTGGGCTGGACCAACTTCAGGATGTCCCCCACCCCACCCCACCCCACCCCGCTCTTGGTTGCTTTCAGTTCTCTTTCCTCCTTTGCAGCTCACCATCAAAGCTCTTCATGTCTGCCCTGAGGCTGGCCTGGGGGGTCCCGAGTGCTGCCTTCGGGTCTCCCTGATGCCTCTCCGGCTCAACATAGACCAGGTAAAGGATGCATCCTGGCTTGTGGGGCCCCAGCCCCAGGTGGGAGTTGGGAAGATGAATGTAGCTCCTTGCAACTCAACCAGCTCCCATCACAAGGTTCAGGCAAAGCCAAGATTGGTGGCGAGGGGAGGGGTCTGGATTCTCCCTCTTTGCAGCTCTTGCTGACGTTTCCCAGGGTAATGGTATGTGGGAAAGACCTTGGGAGACGGGGTGAAGAGATGCTGCCTAGGGAACAGTCCGATAAGAGAGGGCACAGCCCTCAGCTGCATAATGGATGGAGAAAGAGGCTCAGAAGGGACCCTCCCTAGTTTCACGGGCTGTAAAAGAGATGGCGGGAGAATTGTACTTTCAGACCTGCAAGATTCTGTCAATGTAGCTTTTACTTTACTTTACTTTAATTTAATTTAAATTAATTTAATTTTTAATTAAAAAATAAAATTAAGTAGAATTAGCTCATCCAGTCGTGTTTCCTGTCTGGTCTGCCCCATGAGGCCGACACCCAGGCTTCCTTAGGAGGTGCCTGAGCCATTCCTTGATTCCCTCTCCGCTCTGCTTGTCCTTCCAGGATGCCTTGTTCTTCCTCAAGGACTTTTTCACCAGCGTGGCGGCCAGCATCAATCCTGTCGTGTCCGTTGAGGCTGGACCTGAAGGTATGTCCCTGGCCACGTGGCGCTCCTGGATCAGCCTGGGCGCTGAGCCAGGCAGCCAGGTTGGTAGAGAGGAATGCTGGAAATGTAGTTTGGCCATACTGGGAGGTGAGTTCCAGCTTCCTGACCTCCCAGTCTGGACTGCAGTTCTCTGCATTCTTCTTTTACTAGCTGGCTGGGGTGATGGGTGCCTGTCTCAAATCCTGGGTAAAACAGAGGAGGGTGGGGAGGATTGTCCTGGAGGCACCTGCGTGTGACAAGAAGGCCTTTGAAAGAGTGGTCACCCCTGCAGGTCATGTCGAGTCCCCTGGGAAGGACCCAGAGGGAGCCGAGGGGATAATGGCAGCCTCGGTGGAAACCACGGCCAGTGAAAACAGCTCCCTTTCCAACGCCTCCTCTTCTTCAGAGCAGCCCATTTATTTCCGGTATGAACGTGATGTAGGTGGGGCCGGGGGGGAGGAGGACTGCCAGAGTGACAGAGTCAATGGGGGAGCCCTCTGCCCCACTCCCTTGAGGAACAAAGGAAGCCCCCCTGGAGTTCAGACCCTGCTTTTTATCTAGCGGCGTTTCTCAACCTCGGCAAGGTTAAGATGTGTGGACTTCAACTCCCAGAATTCCCCAGCCAGCAGGAAGTTCATGTCCACACATGTTAACCTTGCCGAGGTTGAGAAACACTGTTCTAGCAGGTCCCAACTTTTGAATCTGAGCATTTCCAGACAGGGCTGATTAGACAGGGACATCCCAGGGTTATGTTAAAAGAGGGTGGATGCTTCGTGTAGCCAAAGCCCCACCCCGTTTCCCCATGCTTGGTGCATGTGAGGGACACTTCCAAAGGAGGTGGGGGATTAATTTTGGCGTTTTGGCGGCCCTCTTGCCCCTTTTAAACCACCCTCCAGTCTAAAACCCCAGGAGTCTCCACTGGCAGTCAGTGGCATGGGTGGCACATCGGGTTTGTTTAACCACGGTTTTTGGCTGAGGTTGCCCGTCCTCCTGGTTTCCCAGGCTGCGTTGGCACAGGGCATGGAGCCCAAACTAAACAGGCCACATTTGCAGTTTGGCTTGATGTGGAACCCCAGACAGTAAAGCAGATTCCCCACTGAAGATGGGGGTGAAAGCCTTTGGTGCAGAAAGTCCCCCTCTTCCCTGACCCCAAAGACAGAGATGCAACCCTGACCCATCAGCTTTTTTTCTCTCTTCCCCCAGGGAATTCCGCTTCACCTCCGAAGTCCCCATTTGGCTGGACTACCACGGGAAACATGTCACTGTGGACCAGGTGGTGGGTAGCTAAGCCGTCCAAAGCCCTTTGTCCCAAGCCAAAGAGTTTGCTCTGGGAACGTAAAGGCTGGCCCGTGGGTTGAAATTGCAGCCACTGAATTACCATGCCAAATGCCATGAGGCAGAGGGGGTGGATTTATGCTCCGTGGTGCCCAAGGGTGAGACAAAGGCTAGTGGGTGGATGTTTAACAGAGAGAGATCCTACCTTGAAATAAGGAGGAATTTCCTGACCATGAGAGCTCTGAAGAGCAGAGCGCCTGTCCCCTGGAGTCACGGGTGAGCCCCCTGGATGCTTTCCAAGAAACGTTGGGTTTGTCTGGGATGATGTGGGGCATCCTGCACTGAGCAGGGGTTGGACTAAATGTCCTCCAAGGTTCCTTCCAAGCCTGTGATTCCATACATTACAAGAACCAAGGCTGTATATTAGGCAATAAAGGCTGGTGGTAAGAACGTGGGAGCTGGTGGTCCGGTTGGAGATGCTCGAGTGGCAGGGGTTGGGATAGATGACCTCTGAGGTCCCTTCCAATTTGTCCATCTTACGAAGCCTCCTCCTAAAAGGCCTATCTTGAAGGACCATTTGGAATTAGGAATCTTTCCAGGTTTAGACAAAGGAGCTGCACTTCTTGGTCCTGCTTTCTTTTTCCTTTTGGATCGTCCCTTTTCGACCTAAAGACCAGGTTTCGTGGCTGCTGTAGTTCACCCGCAGCCACAGTTCAGTTTCTTGTGGGAACTGAGCCCCTGTGATTTGTAAACCCAGCTGTTGTGGTTTGCTCAGCCGGCCAGAGGTCACGCTGAGTACTGTGTACATACCGGCTACGTTGGACAAAATGCAGTTGTCAGCGTTGGCTTGGTGGGTAAAACCGGCTGAAATGATTCTTAAAGGGAATCCTCTCTGTGATAAATCTGTTCTTCGGGACCCGTGGGAGGGCGAGGGCTGTGGGGCTGTGGAAGAGGCGACCCCGCCTGAAAGGAGAAGGGGGTGAGCTGGCACAAGCTTCTTCCTCTCCCGTCAGGGCACCTTTGCTGGCATTCTGATCGGTTTGGCTCAACTCAACTGCTCGGAGCTGAAGCTGAAGAGGCTTTGCTGCCGCCATGGGTAAAGACCCTTCTCTCTTATTTAGGGGTCAGGGAAGGGGGGACTTATGTAGTACTTGCAAGGAAAGAGGGCGTTGGTGGGGTGGAGTTACGAAGTTGAGAGGCCACCCCACCCGCTTCCCCAGCCCCAGCTCATTTTTAACGTTCTTTTCTTCCTTGATCTGTTGATCTAAAACCACAACATGTTTAATCAGGGTGCCGTCCCCCCACAGTTTGGTGGGTTTTAACCCAGATTGGGCTCTTTAAGGACCTTGGAGTGTTGCAGGGACACACACACATCCTGGTTCATTTATATTTCAGTGTTTGGTTAAGCCCAGAAAACAGTTCTGTTCCGTAACCAGGATAAGCGAGTTGTGAGGAGGAGATTTTGGGCTTCCTGCACGACCGGCTGCAGCTCAGAGGAGGCTCTTTGCAACACTGACTTGCTGACCCTTAGGGCGTTCGGGGCCACCCCTCCCCAAGGCTTGTGTGCCCCATTTTGACTGACACGGGGGGCCAGGCCAAGTTCATCTGGAGGGTGTGGAGGCTGGATAGAATTATTTGCTGCCCTGTCAGCGTCCCTGCTCTCTCCTTCCAGGCTCCTGGGGGTGGAAAAGGTGGTGAATTACGCGCTGACTGAATGGCTGACGGACATTCGCAAAAACCAGCTGCCGGGCATCCTGGGTGGCGTTGGACCCATGCATTCGTTTGTGCAGCTCTGTGAGTTGGCCTGGGGGGCGCTGGCCTCTCTCCAGCTTTTCTCCAAGCTGGTTTTGGGGAGGGGGGCAGGTTGGAAGGCTTCCTTCTCCTAACTCCCCCCTTTTCTCTCCCCCACAGTCCATGGCCTGCGGGACCTCTTCTGGCTCCCAATTGAACAGTACCGCAAGGACGGGCGCATCATCCGTGGCTTGCAGCGTGGCGCAGCCTCCTTCGGCACCTCCACGGCCTCTGCTGCTCTGGAGCTCAGCAACCGCCTGGTCCAGGCTATTCAGGTTTCTGGGGGCATCGGTCATGCAGGGAGGGGTCCGCCAAAGCCCACCCCAGGATGGTCGGGGGGGTGGGGGCAGCTGAACCCAGATCCTGAACCTGCCCCTTCCCATTTGGGTGGATCTGGCTACTGGGCAGCCCTGAGACCCTCCCTCCCCGGGGCTGGAGGGGGTAGAGATGGCAGACCTTCCCCTCTGTCTGTTCCCCCTCCCAGGCCACCGCCGAGACCGTCTACGACATCCTTTCCCCCACGGCTCCGCCATCACGCACCCTGCCGGACAAGAAGTACGCCCGCAAGCTACGGCGGGGTCATCAGCCAGCAGATCTACGCGAGGGGGTGGCCAAGGCCTACGACACCGTGCGCGAGGTGATCCTGCCCCCCGGGATCCCCCTGGGGTTACAGGCGAGGGCTGGGGGAGAGATCTAGTCCCATCACTGGCTAGCAGGGGGAGGCGTCACCTTTCCTGCTGCAGCAAAATGCTGCAGCGTGACGTCCTCAACTTCAGGGCCCACCCGGCCGTGCCCTCTGCTGGATGTTCCTCCATTTCTTCCCTAGCTCCTGAGCAGAACACCCCTCCCTCAGCAAGCCATTTTTCCTTAATCCTTTTTTTTTAATTGTTGCACGCTTTGGCATTCATTCCCTTGCAGCTATTTTGCATGCGAGGCCCCCGGTGGGAGCTCTGTTGCAAGAATTCGCCCCACACCCTCTCCAGATGCCCCCGCTGAAAACTGCTCTTTTTTCCCCATTTTTAATTAAATAAGTAAAACAAACAACAGAAACGCAAACACAGAGAAAAGGGAAAGGAATACACATATATTCAGCCTTTACACTAGAGCAGTGTTTCTCAACCGTGGCAACTTGAAGATGTGTG